AAATCTGTAAAGTTACCAAGTTATCAAGCAAACCTCGCCCTATCTGTAAACACTTTTATTGCTTTCGTCGGGACCTTTTTCTTTATATTAGACCAACTCGGTGGCAATTTAAATAATCAAGTTCTTGAAAATTAAATGAGATTTGCGTTAGACCGATTTTCTAACTCGGATGGAGAAAAAAAGGAAATGAAGGTTGACCGAAGCAATCCAAAATCGAGTAATAAAGTAGTTATTGGCAATAAGTTTTTGAAAATCAATTAGAGGAGTTTCGCCAGGTTATAAAATTGTTATTTGTTTCCGATCCTAGCTTGTTTCGTAGTAACAGGAGGTTTAAGTCTCAATTTTTTTGTTGATCTATTATAAGTTTTATAAGGTTAGAAAATTGTTATTTATACAGGGTTTTCAACAAACACGTGCCATCACCTGTGAGGAACCACGTAAAATAAATTTTTATTTTTTATTAACCTCATCATCATTTTTTATATCCTGCATTGTTTCGTAGGTACAGGGGGTTTTTCTTATTTTTTTTATCGATTTTTTATAAGTTTCTTTCAAGCACTTTTAGTGATCCGAATGGAATTTTGAAGGTACATAAAGGTAAATGCTATATATTTTAATTAGTGATGGGAAAAACCGATTAATTTCAATAATCGAGTACTCGAGTATCAAGCGATTGCAATAACCGAGTGATCGCTCGAGCGAAATATCGCTCGTATTTAAAAATACGATTTTTCATCCGTCGCTTGTTGTAAGTACTCGTTAACGCCAAGCGCCAGCAGTAGGTAAGTTGCGTGCGCAGGGCACGTATTCTTTCGGTGATGAATGGCAAGTAGCAAGCGACGAGCGATTCGCTTGATAGCTTGGTTTAGTTTATTGTCGATGTAGGTCGTAAAATTTTGGTCCTCAGATACGCAACGGATAAATATATATTATACGGCGTCGTATAAATTTGTTACCTGCAATGTATGTAGAAAATTCGCTCGGCTTTTTATCGAGTATGTCACATTAAAATCGGATTTCAATTTATTTTATTCTAGAATCGCTTGCGTTCGTTGCTCCTAATTGGTCACTTGCATCGCTCGTTCACAATCGAGCGATGTCGATTATTTCAATAATCGAGTACTCGAGTGAATTTTCGCTCGAGTTATCCCATCACTAATTTTAACGCTAAAAATGTGTCGACAGATTTACCAGTGACCAAAAAAAAAACATGAGCGCCACTGACTTTATTCTCTTGTTAGCAAAATTATGTAAGCTGTATGTCGATTAAAAGTTGTATATTGATATTTTCTCCATTTCGATTTCCTTGATGAGATAAACGCAATTTTATTAATCACAATAAAACTAAAATAAAATTAATAAATTATTTATTTAATCTAACTTTTTTTAAATTTTATTAAAATTTATAACATTGATCTTCAGTGCAATGTAACTACAGAAAATTAAAAAAAAATGTTATATAAGATAATTATAAAAGCCTATTATTCAAAAGTTTTAAATCCTATAACTTTAAAACCGAGCTATACATTTCCGCACCCATGTTTATAGGGACTTCATAACTAATAATAATATTCATATTTTTTGATCAGGAATCAATGATTACCTACTTATTTAACATTTTGGCCAGTTCAACGCATTACTTTTCTTAAAGGGGCTATTGGATTAAGAAAAATAATAAAATTGCATTTAACTCATTAAGACGACCAAAAACGACAACATTTCAAGAGACAACTTTTAATCTATATTAAACGGTCTACATAATTTTGCAAACAAGAAAAGTCAGTGGCGCACATGTTTTTTTAGAAAAATATTCCAGTGATAAACCAATGCACGTCTCTGGTGAATCTGTCGATACTTTTGTAGCATTAAGATAAATATGTCGCACTTATAGTAACTTCTAGCCTCAAAATTTCATTCGAATTGCTAAAAGCACTCGGAAGAAAATTATGAAAAATCGAGAAAAATAGACTTTAACCCTCTGTAGCTACGAAACAAAACAGAATTGGACTCATGTTAATATAAAAAAAAATATCTCCCCACGAGAAATGGCGCGTTATTGAAACACCCTGTATAAGTGCAATAACACAATTTATCCCAAAACTTTATAGTATCAAAAACCGATATTATATTATAATTCACGGGCATTTACAAATCTTTTTATAAAAATGAAATAAAAAGCAATAACAATTTGCAAAAATACAATGATGGAACATCTAGTATAATTACAATTTTCCATAAAAAACAATCTAAATAGTTTAATAATAGAATTTCTAACTATTTTTAATTTTATTGACAAATTCTAAAACGTCGTTGGACAAAACATCGCTAGAAAATGTTAGTCAAAGTCAAGTGGTTAACGTTTGTGCAATATTAAAGCTGATTCAGTTCTTTATCTTTTACAAATTCCTGTATTAGCTAGGAAATATGAATGGTTTTCATAGATTTTAGTTTGTTTAATACTTATCATCGCTGACAAGTTAAATATAGTATAAGTATCTTTATTTAATGGAAACATCTAAACAGAATTTCTGTAAAATCTTACGTAGTCATACATGTAATTTCAAATATCTCGGGAATATTCAAAGTAAGCACTTTGCGCGTTCAATAAATACCTACACACATTTCACTCTAATAAACACATACTAGATCGTTTTAAATAACCTGTTCTATTTTGTTTGTTTTTAATCAAAACTGGAGTTTTCCTTTGATAAGATATCCGATATGAATATAGCCTCTGATATCGCAGATATTGATTAAACGATATTAGTAATTAACTGATAAATATTTTTTTGTATGTATAATAAACATTTACTTTAATGATAACAGATACTGGTACTAAAACTACGTGAAGAATCAACAAGTAAAATACTATATTATGTCGCTTTCCATTTCAGTAAATGCCTTGTATTTTTTTCTAATTTTAGTATTTGCTTAGAACAATAATATTTGAGTAGAAGCATTCTTAAATAAAATTTTGATCTTTTAATCTTTGGAGTTAAAGTAAAAGAGCAAATTACGCTAAACGCCCAGCTCAGTAATTATTGGGAAAACTGGAAATCATCCGATTTTCACCAAAATTGGTATACACACTATTTTGAGGTCGTAGATTAGGAATCTGATTATGAATCTCTTTTTTTGGCGGTCTCTTACCGTTTTTCAGAAAAACGGAAAATAATTTCAACATTGAATTATTCTTTATTTTGGCCCTATAAAGTAATAGTTTCACTATATTTTCATTATATTATAGTTTATCTAAAAGCCATACTTGATTGAGGATAGAAAAATGTCCAAAATTTTACTGAAAAACACTTTTCTTAACAAAATAACAAAGAAAATTGAGACCAGATGGAAGTTTGACATTTCATATATCCTTCTTTCTCTCTCCTATGTAATGAGAAAGACAAATATATATATTCTAGACCTAATCCAGAAATTTGAAAATTTACAACGTTGCCATATCTTCTATTTTTTCGGGTGATTAGGAACTTTAAATAAATTACCTATTATGAGATCTGACAATAGTTAAATATACCTACCTATATCCACAAAGTTACGCGGAAGAGTTTTGATTGCATTGGTTTCAACTTCTATGCGGAGGTGGTTAATATTTTTTTGTTAAATTAAAAAAAGATTAACCCCATCCACAAAGAAGTTATATAAAGACTATTTATAACCACGAAGTTGCATGAAAGAGTTTTTATTGCATTCGTTTCAACTTCTTTGCGGAAGGGGTTAATCTTTTTTTGATATAATATAACAACAAAAGATTAACACCCTCCGCATGGAAGTTGTAACCAATGCAATCAAAACTCTTTCGTGCAACTTCGAGGTTATAAATAGTCAGATCTCGTTGGTAAAATAGCAGTTACGGGAAGGAGCTTCTTCTGGCGACCGCCTTTCGTAATCCCAGAATGCAGAATAAGCGAAAAAAAACGCTAAATTTAGGTTTAGGCAACGTTGCTTTAAATGAAGAAAGAACACATAACCCAACATTTTCAGATTGTTTACAAATTTATTTTAGCAAATTTTCCTCTATTATGCATAGAATTGGTTAAGAAAGTAACAGAAAATAGCAAAGACATCATTGTTTACTGAATACCTAACAAAACATGTACTAGAAACCTTAAAATATGAGAAATTAAGAAAAATTCGATGTTGAAATAATTTTTCGTTTTTCTGAAAAAACAGTAAGAGACCGCCAGAAAAAAAGTTCAGATTCGTAATCTACGACCTCAAAATAAGGTGTATACCAATTTTGGTGAAAATCGGACGATTTCCAGTTTCCCAATAATTTCCCCCAGCTCTAATTAGTTCTGATGAGGGTTAAGTTGTCCAACATTGTTTGTGACATTGTTCTTCACAGTTTTTTCGACTTTCGACAATAGCTACACCTAATTGAACACATGAAATTTATCTCTGTATGCCCACACGATATGGCAAATGTCTAGTGTCCATCGGTGGAAGGTATTTGCGACCTAGTGTGTGTGACCGGCTTTAGAAAAAGGTTCGCTCAGAGTGATAAAAAAGTTTTTTTGTTTATTGTGTTTCTAATTCATGTTCAGTTTTCATTCAAGAAATTTTTTTAAATAAGTTGACACTAATAATTTTCAAGCCCGGTAATATTCCTAGAATATTTATATCTGGCAAACAGTTATAGATTATTTTTTTTTTCTATTTACTCCTACAACAGGTTATAAATTAGATACGAGATAAATTTTCAATATTTATTTAATATTCTAGAATATATATTTTTCTATCCTTTTTTTATTTTATTCTATCACCTCGAAGCAATAAATCGTTTCGGATACTTGTAATTGAGATCGAGCTCGAAGGACCAAAATTTTATCCTTTGCTTTATACGGAACGTCAAACACGATTTACATTTTTTAACCTTTTCCCCGTTTCTCCTCTTGGTTATACCTTTTCTTCGTAATAAATCCTATCTTTATCTGTGAATCACAACGTATTTTCGTTTTCTAAAATGACACAAATACACAAACCTGATGGCTCACATAGTTCTTAATCCCTTCCATGGATCACTACACAGCTCTATCATTACAAACCTCAAGAAAAAAACACAAATAAAATCCTGCAAGTATATCTCGCACTGTATTCACGATAGTTTTCGAACAAGTCGATCGCGGAATATATCGCGCCACGACCAGCTCCGCATCGACTCTGAAACGGTTATACAGACCCTTCGACGTTAAGGCCAGACCAGACTGGCCTCAGACTGGAGTCAGACAGCTGCATGCTGCCGTCATCCCCTCCACGCTCGCGGATGGACCAATAGCGAAGGGTGGGGGGGATAATAATGTCATTATTTTCTATTTTACAGTTGGCTGTGGCATTTTTTACACGGCAGGTAGCAGGCTGAAGAATGAATAAGGTTAGGTGACCACGGGACGATTTGCGGTCTTTTTGTATCGTGGTGTATTATTTTTTCTGGTCCTTCGAACTTCGGGAGCTGCTTTTTTCTGGTGCGCGTGTGTGTTATATGTTTTCAGAAACAGGGGTTAATATCATATTTCTTATTGGGAGATAGGCGCTTCAGGTGGAGCTTTTTGTAGGCTCGCTTTTGTTATATGAGCTGGACCATATTTCATAACTTGTTTATTGACCTAAGTTGTAAGCTGAGATTTTTTGTTGTTATTTAAATTTATTAGGTGATTGAAATAATTCTTATTTTCTTCAGTAAATTAATTTATGTGTGTATAAAGCGTTAGAACCATTGTGTAGGACCGGCTTAATAAAATTATTGACCGGCGAATAATTTTTTTATGGAGGCGAATATAGGTATATTTTCATTTTGAGTCGCTATAACAACTTACCTAAAATACCCTTTTCCCGCGACTTCTTCCGCGTTAAGCCTGTCCCACATGATGTGTTAAACATCTTCTAATGCTGGACACATAAACATTTGCTAAATCGTGTAAAAGACACACTTGTGAATTGCAATATTGTCGATTGTCGAAGCTTGTGCCAAATGATACGTCTAACGTTGGGAGCTTTACCTACTATTTACCTATTTTAGGACTGGCTTTACCTACACTTCGAATCGTACATGCATTTCCATGTTCGATTCATATACAGTTCGTCTGTTGGATCTGTGTCTATGAAAGGAATGCGGACAAAAAACATTTAAATAAACAGCAATATATTTTATACGTCGACTTGACGAGTACGTCACCGCAAATCGCTCCGCCCACTCATTTTATTGGCTACTTGCAAATTTGTCGAATTTTTATTGATGGGACGCGTTGTCTAATTTTTTACGAAAAACATCGAGAGAATATCGTTTCCCCTCGCACGGATACCCCGTAGCCACAGAACGGACAGACGTACTGTACAAACCATCTAAACAGAACAATTACATATTTTTTTTACTCATTTTTACTTGGTTTTTTATTTCTTAATTATGTTTACCCAAGGTTTCGCTTGCCAGCAGGGTATATGGATATTATTTTACCGCAAATATATTATAATATAGTTTTTCATAGATGTGAATTTTTAAAGTTTAAAAACAAATGAATTTTATTTAATATAGTAAAACACTAAGGGATCGAAAAAAACGATATTCTACATTTAAAACTTTAATTATTATACAGGGTGTCCCCGAAAAAAGTGCAAGTATTTTAACTGGTAGAATAGTTCAACTCCAGAAATACGCCTATGAGGGTTTTTTTCACGAAAAAAAAATTGAAAATTCGGAATTTTTTGAAAAAAAAAATTTCCAGTTAAAAAACGTAATTTCTTGATAATATGGCAACATAGGTAGTAGATTAAATTTACAAGAAAGAAAATCCAGAAAAGATCCAGCGGTTCTCAAAATTTTAGCAGTTATTTTGAACTTATTTGAAAAACGATAAAAAGAGTAAATATGTTTCTTTTATCGAGATCTACCACACCTTAAAATACTTGCACTTATTTCTGGGACATACTGTATATATTGAACAACACTATAGAGACATTCCAGTGACCCTAGTAATTAGGAAGTTGATGACATGCCACTAGCATTATTTAATACTGCTAATGATAGTGATGGACAATGAAGAATAATATGAATAGTTAGTCAAAGCATAATTATAGAACTAGAAGAAGAGTTAGATGTTTAGTCAAAAATAACTTTGTGAAAAGGAGATATATCGCCCTTTAAAATGACAGTAAAAAATTGTAATACATTTCCCATTTTAGCAGCTTATGCCAAAAAATATTTCAGCTCTCACGCCTCCAGTGTCAACAGTAGGCGAACATTCTGATAGTCGCTAGCAACGTTTTCGAGAAAGTATTTTAAGACGTCTGGCTCTTTGATATATCTTTTACTATGCTCTCTGGAACAGCATGCGGCACGTCTAGCTGCCGATACCCGTTGCGTTCACTACTGCGCATCGGAAGAAGATCCTATATTTTTTATTAATTTAGTCCTATAAATCCTAGTAGGTATTGAATATAAATCGAGCATGTCTCCATAGCGCAGTGCGTAGAGTTTCCGACCACGAACCGATGATTCAGAGTTCGAATCCGGGTCAGGACAAAGACCTTTTTATTTTATTTTCGTTTATATTCTGATAGTAAAGTATTAAATAAATCTGTAAATATAGAAGAGAAATGGAAAGAAGTGAAAGAAAGCCTTCAAAAGATTGCCGAAGAAAACCTCGGATATCAGAGATATATTAAAAAGCCATGGATCTCAGATGGCCCATGGTAAAAGATTAAAGAAAGAAAAGAAATTAAACTATCAGAATATAAACCAAAATAAAATAAAAAAGTTTTGGTCCTGACCCCCTCTACGCACTGCGCTATGGAGACATGTTCGATTTATATTCAATACTAGAATTTAAAGGACTAATAAAAATATAGAATCTTCTTTCAATGCGCAGTAGGGAATGCAACGTTTACTGGCAGCCAGACGAGCCGCATGCTGTTCTAGAGAGTAGATATATAAGAGCTAAGATATATCAAAGAGTTTTTCCGACGTAGCTAGCTCTCGTAGATACCATGAGGCGAGGGAATATTTTTCAAGCTAAAATAAATAGGTCGGATAGCCGGATATACATACATTCAGATCTGGCTAAACCGGATATTCGGCAAGTTGGCCTGATTCGAATCCAGTTCCGATTCCATTTACATCTCTAATGCTATGAACCATTGACAGAAACTAGGGTCGCAAATATATTTGTCACTATTGTCACTTACGCAAATAAAGAATAAACAAAAAGTATGCTATTTTGTAGAAATCCATATAGAATATAAAATCCATATAAAATCTACATAGAATTTAAAAAAATATAGTCAGTGATAAGAAATCAATAAATTAACGTTATACCGCCATTAAAGATTGACACTTCAGATTAACAATTAATTATTGATATGATGTTTGAGGTCAACATTGCCCCCACTTGTTTATACCAAATGCACAAATCCGTAGCACAATCCCCCATCTTCATGCATATTTCAAATCGCCAAATGTATGTGTGTACGTATATTGAATTCATCGATATCGACAAAAGGCACAATATAAAACAGATATTATTCCTAACTAACTATTGTGGAGGCTGCCGCAGTCCTCTCTAGCGAGCGATTGAATAAATAAACCTGAAATTTTGAATAATAAATCGCGGTTCAATCGGTAATAACAAGCAATATTTCGGATCGTTGCCGTAATGTAATTTTGTAGGAAATGTACTGGAAATAGTGTAAAGTATTCTGCTAAAATCGAAAAAGAAAATATTCCAAATACTTTGTAATTTCTTTCAGAAAAATAAGTAAATCCTCTAGATTTACTCAACCAAATCTCCGATATTTTAATTAGTATATAATCTACAAAATTATTTTTTATAGATATATATGATATACAGGGTGTCCCAGGCTAAGCGTGCTTTAGAAGTTTCTAGAGAACTACAATACTTAGATCGGAGATTTTTTTTAACATCATTGTTTCAGAACGAGATCTATCGATTAATAATATTTTCAATATGGCGGAACTTCTGGGAATACCGGAAGTTGACAGCAACTTTCTTATTTTAAATGTATGCCCCCACTTTTTATTACATACTTAAATTCTCTATTCTCTGTAAAATTTTATGAATTTTGATATTAAACACTCTATACCTAACATTAACCGTTACAATTAAATTTTTGGATGAAAAAACAACCTCTCAATAAAATGAGTATAGCTTAAAAGTCAAATTTAGTGATTACTAAGCCACTGTGAAATAAAGAAAGGACATGTGGCTATCTATTCCAAAAATTGTCATATAATAATGGCGGTAGCTGTCATGGAATTGACTGATTAAAAAATTATCATAAATCATTTTTTTCAAATGGAAACCCACTTTTTTATTTCACTAGTTTTCCAATTCGTTACTTTTTGAGTAATGTTCCTATACCTAAAATATATTGTTTTTAAGTTATTTAAGATTAAGTTTTAAAGTATATTATTAATAATATCAACTATTAGATATCACTAAAGAGCGAAAATACGAGTTATATTTTTATAAATAAACTTTTTAAACTCTTAAGGCAGCAGTATTTATAATATAAGAAATTGAAATAATTTTTTTTCTGGTAAATGGAAATAAAATGTCTGATTGTTTGAGACTTAATGTCAAAGGAAGCTAGATAAAGTCAAGAAAAATGTACGTTTTCAAAGTAAATCTGAAATAACGTAAAAACGGTTTATTTTAAGTATAGGAACATGTATACTCAAAAAGTAACGAATTGGAACCGCCATTATTATATGACATTTGAACAATTTAAATTTTGAAATAGATAGCCACATGTCTTCTCTTTATAGACTTTATGTCACAGTGGCTGTGGTAATCACTAAATTTGACTTTTAGTCTATACACATTTTTTTGACAGTTAGTTTTTTTCATCAAAAAATTTTAAATATTTTTTTTTCTCAAAAACGGTTAATGTTAGGTATTGAGTGTTTAGCATCAATATTCATAGAATTTTACAGAGAATTTAAGTATGTATATAAAAAAGGGGACACCCATTTAAAATAAGAAAGTTGCTGGCAACTTCCGGTATTTCCGGAAGTGCTGCCGCATTGAAAATATTTTTAATCGATAGATCTCGTTGTAATGTGTATAAAATTTCCGATCTAGATATTGTGGCTCTCTAGAAACTTCCAATGCACGCTCAGCCTGGGTCTCTCTGTATAACATACATCATCTTTTTCCTAAACACAACATTTTTTTAACTTATTTTTTTTTATAATAGTTT